CCATTTTCTTTCTTTCTTTCTTTCTTTCTTTCTTTCTTTCTTTCTTTCTTTCTTTCTTTCTTTCTTTCTTTCTTTCTTTCTTTCTTTCTTTCTTTCTTTCCTTCCTTCCTTCCTTCCTTCCTCCTTCCTTCCTTCCTTCCTTCCTTCCTTCCTTCCTTCCTTCCTTCCTTCCTTCCTTCCTTCCTTTCTTTTTGTTTGATTGATTTTATTCTTTTTGCCTGTTTGTTTTCTAAAAATAAAGATAAGAAATTAATGAAGTTGAGTGTATGAATGATCTGGGATGAATTGGATTGAGAACACCATGACCAGGATATAATGTATGAATTTTTTAAATTAAGAAACATCAGATTCTCACTCAATTCTTGAGAAGTTAAGGTTGGACTGAGAGAAGGAAGGAGGTGTGGATGATCAGAGAATCAGACAGACTTTCATCCAGTACAGGAAATCAGATGACACTGTTAGTGTCCCAGCCAGGAGGATGAGGGAAGAGAGTGCTTCCTTGAAGTGTACCAGGGACTCAAATGCAAGTCATCATGCAGCCAGGGCTTGGGGGTCTCAGTGTTGAGAAATGCTTCCTGTGAGACATGCACATGGCTCTGAAGGCTCAGCATGCAGGTGCCGATCTTCAGACAGCAAGGGTTTGGGGTTGTGAGGAGGTGGGAATAAAAATTCAATTTTGTTTAAAGTGGTTGTAAGATGAATTGCTAAATGGTCTTATAAATAATAATAATAATAATAACAATAATAATAATAATAATAATAATAATAATAATAATAATAATAAACCCAGAGCCAGATATTGGGGTTAAAATCAAGAGATCAGAAAGAAGCCAGCCACGTTTTTACCACTTGGAGACCCTCTGCTAAAGAGACCGACTTCCTGTCTACCCACGCCTATATGCCTTTTTGTTCTGCCATCTCATTTCCTCTCTCTGCCCAACTATATCACTTCCTCTTCCTGACCAGCTCTGTCACTTCCTGTCTGTCTGTACAGACTTCCAGACTGTTATGATTAGTGCTGGGATTAAAAGCTAGTGCCACCATGCCTGGCTCTGTTCCCAGTGTGGCCTTGAACTCACAGAGATCCACCTGCCTCTGCCTCCCAAGTGCTGGGATTAAAGGTGTGTGCTATCATTGCCTGACCACTATGTTTACAATAATGGATGGCGTTTCCCTCTGATCTTCAGATAAACTTTATTGATCCTACTGTCAGGGGCCCCTCAAACAGATCAAGCTATACAACTGCAGAGGGCCTAGTCCAGCCCCATGGAGGTTCCACAGCTGTTGGTCTAAAGTTTGTGAATTCCTATGAGCTTGGTTCAGTTGTCTCTGTAGATTTCCTTATCATGATCTTGAGCCCTCTTGTTCATATAATCCCTGTTTCCTCTCTTTGACTGGACTCCTGGATCTTGGCCTGGTGCTTAGCTGTGGATCTCTGCATCTGTTTCCATCAGTTACTGGATGAAGGCTCTATGATGACAGTTAGGGTAGTCACCAATCTGATTTCCAGGGGAGGTCAATTAAGGCACCCTCTCCATATTGCTAGTAGTCCAATCTGGGGTCATACTTTTGGATTCCTGGGAAGTTTCCTAGCACCAGGTTTCTCCCTAACCCTATAATATCTCCTTCTATCAAGATATCTCTTTCATTGCTCTCCCACTCTGTCCCTCCCTCAGCTCAACCATCCTGTTCCCTCATGTTCTCATCCCCCACCCCTCCCCTCTATTGCCCCCCTTGTACTCAGTTTATTCATAGAGTTCTCATCAGTTTCCCCTTCCCAAGGCAGCCCATGCTTCCCTCTTAGGATCCTCCTTGTTTCTTAGCTTCTTTGGAGCTGTGGGTTGTAATCTGGTTATCCTTTGCTTTACATCTAATATTCATTTATGAGTAAGTACAGACCATGTTTGTCATTCTGAGTCTGGGTTACCTCACTCAGGATGGTATTTTCTAGTTCCATGCATTTGCCTGTAAATTTCATGATGTCACTGTTTTTCTCTGCTGAGTAGTACTCCATTGTGTACATGTGCCATATTTTCTTTATTCATTCTTCAGTTGAGGGGCATCTATGTTGTTTCCAGGTTCTGACTATTATGAATAATGCTACTATGAATATAGCTGAGCAAGTGTCCTTGTGGTATGATTGAGCATCCATTGGTCATATACCCTAGACTGATATAGCTGGGTCTTGAGGAAGATTGAGTCCTAATTTTCTGAGAAGTCACCATACTGATTTACAAAGTAGCTGTGCAAGTTTGCACTCCCACCAACAGTGGGGGAATGTTCCCCTTGCTCCACATCCTCTCCAACATAAGCTGTCATCAGAGTTTTTGATCTTAGCCATTTTGACAGGTGTAAAATGATATCTCAGAGTCATTTTAATTTACATTTCCCTGATAACTAAGGATGTTGAACAATTCCTTAAATGTCTTTCAGCTATTCGACATTCTTCTGTTGAGAATTCTCTGTTTAGACCTGTAGCCCATTTTTTCCCTATTGGATTGTTTTGGTATTTTGATATCTTTCTATGATGCTACAGTTGCTCTGATACCCAAACCATACAAAGATGCAACAAAGAAAGAGAATCACAGACCCATCTTCCTCATGAATAATGATGCAAAATACTGGCAAACCGAATTCAAGAACACATCAAAAAAATCATCCACCATGATCAAGTAGGCTTCATCCCAGAGATGCAGGGTTGGTTCAACATATGAATATCTGTCAATGTAATCCATCATATAAACAAACTGAATGGAAAAAATCACATACTCATCTCATTAAATACTGAAAAAACCGTTGACAAAATCCAATACCCCTTCATGATAAAGGTCTTAGAGATCAAGAACACAATGAACATACTAAACATAATATTTAAATGCTATTCATACTTTGAGTTTTAGGCAACAGAGAAAACCCCATTTTATTCAATTTTTTTTCTTTAATAGCTTATTAGGAAATATTTTTACAGATAGATCCTGTTTTGATCACTTATTCAAAATATGATGTACTGTTTCACTTAAAAATATTCTCATCCATATGCAACAGATAAATGCATTTGGCAACCAATTAAATATTTAAATCTGACCCCACTTAGGTTGACCTTTGACAGTAGAAAGCCTTAAGGTTAGAAGGACACTGGGTAAGAACAACATGCTACACAACCCCAATCCTCTAAAATCAAAGCTCTCCAGCAGTGGTGGTGCTTGTAGGGATCCTGTCATTAACAGTATGTGTATGACTTTCCTTTTCAGTGCGTGCTGGTGGCTGGCTTGGTAAACATCAAAGTTCATAGGAAAGAGAAAACAAACAAGCAAATGTTAATTCAGTGTTTTCACAGTAACACTCT